CAGGATGAGCCACAACAGTCAGGATGAGCCACAACAGTCAGGATGAGGAAAGCACATTTGTGTTCTGGGAGACAAGGATGACAAGTTGACTGGAATAACAAGGAAAGGATCTCAGAAGCCCAGAGAATGGACAGTGGTGACCAGATGTCCACATTGCCCCTTGCTGAGTTGTTTGTAACACGTACATCTCACGGGAAGCCAGGGACAGCATAGCCCCGTAGCTCTCTGAGGCTCCCAGACTTGAGCTGGCTGTTTCAGCCCTGGAGTCTCCTCCACTAGCCCTTACCACCCTTGGTCTTGTTCTAACGATCCCCTAGAAGGACCTCCAGTGTCCAAGCACAATCTAGTTTCCATGGCAACCATGCCACAGATGGTCTCCTTAGTGCCTTCTGTCTAGCCGAGACCTGTGAAAGCCATGGACAAGGTCCAAATACCTCTTCTAAGTATGGTTGTGACATTTCTCAGACTGGAGTCTCCTGAGCATAGGACACAGATGAAAAGGGCTCAGGTGATTTAACTCTGTGTGGCCTTTCAACAGATGCTATGCTCTGTACCCAAGATGGCTGAGAAGCTGGTGGGGAGGGTAGTTAGCCCTGTGCTTGGCTATGTCCTCCTTGGACTAGAGTGAGCAATGATCTGTTTGCTAGTCACCACAGTGTCACTGACAAACACCCTGCTGTCTAAAGCAGGGCTTTGTAGGTAAACAACTTCTAAGCTTAGTAGCTAGGATTCTGTCACCTGTACTCACGTGTATCTACTTTCCCATCTTTAAACTTCCGATTTCTTCTCTTTCTCAGTGACTCTGTCTTGCATCCACTCATATGCTCACATGCACTCATCTGACTCATAGACTTCCAAGTGTGCGTGCAGGATTCTTTCCAAAGATACATTTCTGGTATCTAGCCTCCTAGACTCATCCTTTCCAACTAGTAATTCTGCATTCAGGTGTAAATAACCCTGTCATTGTCCCCAAACAACCCAGGTACTCATAGGAAGCTCAAATCCACACTGTGCACAGCCACCTTCTATTTAGATTTCTTTAACCTAAGCAAAAATGCTGGCAGTCCAGAATGTATGTCCAAACATCCTCATGGCATGAGTGTGACTTGGGACACTGCTGAGTTCCAGGAAGATGACACCTTTATTTCTGTGACAATGTGAAGGGAAACGAATTTTAAAAGGCCATGAATACCCCCAGAGTATCACTGCCCAACTTCTTGGGTGAGACACAAAGGGCTGTGTGACCTTCCTGAATCACCAAGCTCTGAGGCCAAGGCCTGGCATGGCTCTGACAGACTGTTGCCCCTTCAGGCCTTAGTTAAGGACAGTCAACGGCCTTTCTCATCCCAGCAGTCAGGCTGGTTCTCTCTGGTCTTCCAGCAGAGGGTGGCCAACTATTTCTGTGAAGGGCCAGGCAGCAAATATTGCAGGCTCCATGAGCCATATGGTCCCTGTCACAATTACTCAACTCTGTGCAGTCATGAGAAAACAAATGTAGACAATACAACCAGTGAGAAGAACTGGGTGCCAATAAAATTTTATTTATAAAAATTTAAGCGACCAGCCAGATATGGTCCTTGGGTTCCTGGTTTAAGTTTAACCTTCTAGACGAGGCTTGCCCCTGCCTCAGCCAGTGCAGAGCACTTCTTCATTCAGTCTCCACTAACTTCTCCAGTCCTGGGCCCTCTCTTGGGTAGAACTGCTTGTGGGGAGCACAGAGCAGGGGCAGGTGGGAAGTAAGATGCTGTTACAGGATGACTGCATGGACTGAGTCTGTTCCTTCCCACCTTAAGTCTTCACTGTGTTCTCCATGCACCCCAGAACAGCAGCTCCCTAAGAGGCTCTCAGAGAGGACAGCCTCTGTGGAGCCTGCTCATCCTGATTGGCCTCCAGGCTCGGAAAAGGGGCCACAGTCAGGTGTGTGCAGCTCTATCTCTGATGTTACAATCCTACACCCTCGAGATCCTGTCATCTCTCAGACCCCAGCAAAGTTCCCCTAAAGAAAGAAAGGTCCATGTCTTGCCACAGGTGAACTACTGAAGTGAGGGATTCCTTGTCTGGGTTCTTCCTATGGCGACATCACATGCCCTCCTCCATCTTCTGTGTCATTCGGCTTAGTAAATTTGTGTTGGGTACCACGGAAGCCAGGAGGAATAAGGACCAGGCTCTACCTGGCTGAGTCTGTTATATGAGAGAAACAAAGGCAAGCAGGCAACAGGGCCAGGGAGGACAGGGCTGGAGAGACACCTATCTCCCAAGTCACCAGGGTTATCGAATCAGGTCACCAAGCCATTTTGAGAGCCGAGAAAGATACACTGAGGCCTAGAGGCAGGGAGAAGGTTGGGGGGAATGGTCCTCCTACCTGACAATGCTCCATTCTGGCTCAATACGCACGATGGTGGGGTCCTCCACATACTGAAAGACCAGGTCCTGGCGGATCCTGGCCCTGTCCACCTGCACGGTCACCTTCATGTCCAACACTTCATCTGAGGATGTAGTGTTACAGATAATGTAGGATGGAGAGCGCCTGAAAGGGAGGGTAGAGTACAGGCTCCTAGGTACCAAGGCTAGCAGTGGTCCTGGGCCAACCTTTCTCTTGGTGCACCAGGGGTGGGCACTGCCACAGATAGCTCACAAACCAGGAACAAGGACCTTTTGAAAGGATCCTCTGAGCCTGCCGTTCAAAGAGGCCTGCTCTTTGGGCTGCCCTTATCCGTAGCCCTGCCCCAGTTTTTACAAGGATCTAGCTAAATAAGTCCATTGAGGCTCCTTCCTCCAATTCTCGTTACTGGCCCGCAATAAGAATCCTGTGAAGTGAGTTTGGCAGGAAATGGTCCCTTGCTACCTCCTTCTTGTGACTGTGAGTCCTGCGTCCTGGCATACAGCTCCTTAATCTGCAGCACTGGGATCGAGACTGCCTCTGCCCTCTTATGAGTCTCAGCCCTTCTGTAGATGCTTTGACTACATACATTCATCCTTCCCATTCTCAAAAGAATCCAAATAATGGCTTCTTGGATAGCAGTAATTCAAGGCCCAAGATGGTCTGATTTTGAATCTGCCATACTTCTTATAGGAACACCTTTCTCTGGGGACTTTGGCTCAGATTGGTTATGTCTCTCACAGCATTCCTTAGATGGGCTTCTGTGGCCCCTACTTCAGACTTCTGCTTAGGCAAAATGTATTCCTTGGTCTGCATAGCCCAGCTGGGCAAAAAGCCTCTTGCCTTTGTTGGTTCAGCCTTAGCTCTCTGGGATCACCTGCTCAGAGCAGATGGGGTAGTCCTATGTAGCCTCTAGCAGGACCAGCTCTGGTCCTGAAGGGGCATCAGCTCCCAGTCCCAAGCTGGATGCTCAGTGGTTCCCCCACTCTCTGAAAAGGGTACATACTGAACTGTGGATGGACAGCAGCAGGACACTGCCTCCACCTCCTAATGAAGGCAGGAATCCCATCTATTTATTGTCCTCCACCAAAGGGAGGAAGAGTGCCAGCTTACAGAGGGGCCCACAAAAGTCAGCTTGGGGAAGGGGCAGTTCCTATTTACCCTGAATTTCCCTCCCAGGTTCTTTAACTGTCTGGTCCCTTCCCCTGGGCCCAAGAATTACCTGTGGAAGAGGCAGGGCTGGCTCCCAAACATCACCACCACATTGCTGCCTGCATTCAAGTTAGTGCCTGTGATGGTAACCTGTGTACCTCCAGACATGGGTCCACGGCTAGGCTTCAGATCTGCGAGAGTCAGGGTCTGCAGAGAGAAGAGGACTGAGGCATGCTGGGATAGCTGGAAGAGTCTGGGACAGACTTTAGACAGTGCCCCATGACCTACTGAGAAGCTGCCATCTAGAATTCACTCCTGTGGCCTCTGCAAGCCTCTCTGTATTCTCTGTGTTGAGAGCTTACATCTCTACATGAGTAACAGTAGCTATGATAGCTGCTGTGTACTGATTTGTTGTTGTTGTTTTTAGTGGTAGGTTTTTATCTATAGTGATGTAGATATTGGTATATCTATAAACTACCCAGTCAATGATTTAAAAAAAAATGGCTATCATTATCTATTTCACAGATGAGGTTCAGAGAGGTTCACCAAGTTCTCTAAGGTCATATAGCTGAGACTCAACCCCAGAGCTCTAATCTCCAGCCATTTCTCCAATAAACAGCCTCCTGGTGCTTGAGAAGGGGACCTGCCATGCCCCAAGGTCTCTCCAGAGAACCCTCCTGTGGCCAAAGCATGGAATGTAGGAGGACTGTGCCCAAGAAAGCTTTCAAGGCCTGTCAAGCCCCTCTCCCTGACTGGGGTGGGGGCTGGGAGCAAAGCCCTAGACAACAAGGGATTTGGAGATGCAGTTTGTTCTTTCATTAGCATTTTAATGGAAAAACTTTCCCTGGTCCCAGGTGAGAAGCCTGTATCTGCATTTAAATGAAGACCTCCCTTTCCCTTCCCCTGCCACAGTCCCCTGAAAGAACTCTGTACTGAAACTGAAACAAATGGGTTCATAGGGTTATGGTTATTCTCCTGCAGAAGGCCTCCTTTGGAAGCCAGCAAACTCACCCAACTGCCAGCCACCCAGATCCCAGACCGGTAGCATAAACCTTCGAGACACTAGCTGACCTCAGCTAGGTTTGAAATCCAAGGATAAGGCCCTTTAGTATCATGCTGTATGACTCTGGGCAAGATACTCAACTTCTCTGGTCACACAATTAGGAACTGGCTCCTAACAAAGTTATCTCCGGGACCTGTAGTTTTCTTGTTCAGTAAACTATAGTAATCTGCTGTTTCCAAAGGGTGGCTTTGTCCCACAGACTCCCCAGAGAGGGTGCATGGAGTCTGTCTGCTGGTGTTCTGTGCCCCTGGGCTTTGGGGAAGGTCTAGCATCAAACCTTGGGAAGGGTTGGCGATTGCTAATGGCCTCATTGCAGTGGTGTTGATGCACTGGCTTGAAAGGGTCTGCTCTGGGTGGGAGAGGGTGTTATGGAAACATGTTTTAGACTTGTGAGAAACTATTAATTATTCAAGTCATGCCTCATAAATATTTCACGGTGGGTTTGCACGGGAAATCAAAGTCTGAATTATTTGCCAGCTTTTCACTTGGCTCCATGAACGAACAGACTAGAAGGGAAAGGGAGAAGGAGCATTCCCAGCATGGAGACCTCCTGGGACAGAGCTGGTGATGGGCCAGGAGTGCAGCTTCTGGTCCTTTTGTAGCTTTGACATTCAGCTGACTAACTCACAAATCAGAGCGTGGTAGAGAGACACTGAGGGAAACTGAAGTTTGTCTCTGAAGCAGGATGGTGGGGCAGAGAGTAAAACCTGGAAGAGCCCTATATAAAAGACTGCAAAATTAGTAGGGAAGAAAAGCCATCAGCAAAGAGGAAGGCTGGAAATACCACCAAACCTGGGCTGTGGGGCCACCAGTAACAAGCATGAAGGCACCAGTGTCTGTAGGTGATCTGTAGGGCATTATAATACCAACACCCTGCCCCTCATCTGTGGAGATTTGAGCCCCTGAGATACATAACACAGGGTGGAGAATTAAAGGTAACAGAGCAGATGTGAGAAAGCCCAAATGACCCCCAAAGCCTGAGAAATGAGACATGAAAGCCATACAGTGGGCTCTGAGCTAAGCTTATAAACTTTCTTCCGGCCCCAGACTACTTCTGCCCTTGGAAGCATATCGTTTTCTAACAAACTGTCCATGCTTCTGTAGCTATCACATCTCTCCGATTCTTGGTACCAGAACAGAAGAACTTGAAAATTTCTGTGCATGATTGTTGAACTTCTCATCCCCTAGCCTTGGCACCAGGAAAGGTCTCTTGGTACACCACAGAGCTCTAGAAGTCCCCAGAGAAACCTTCTGGGGAAAGCTACCCCAGGACCCTCCGGAGTGGGTTTTCAGGGTGGGGCTGAAGAAGTGCTGTCTCCCACAAGCCACCTAGCTTAGGGGAAGGCAATGAGGGCTCCATTTCTGCTCAGAAGCATGACTAGAAGGTGAGTCTGTCTTTTCCTTTGACCACATGAGACTCACAAGGATCCCTGCTTTTCATCCCTCTGGGAAACACCTAGCCTCTCTACCCTAAGTAAAAATAGGGTACACAAAGGGGCTGGGGTCCATCATTCTTCCTTCCTGAATACTTATCTTAGAAGATGTGTGGCACTAAGCCATATCCTTAGAAAGACCCTTCAGCTAGGAAAGTGACATAGGTCACCGAAAAAGGAAGGGACCCAATGGATCAAGGTGCTTGCCTTGTAGCAGTTACATTCATTGTTCCTCATGGCCTCTCTGCTCCTACTGTCCTCCCTCTCATGCCTCTTTTACTTCTCTTAAGAACACCCTCCTCATTCCTATCCTTTGGGGTGAGTCCATGGGTCAGATTTATGCTAGGAAAAGCACCTGCCAGGAAAAAGCCACATGGAAATCAGCGTGCAACTTGGATACACGCTGCCTTTCCATTGCTTCATCCATGAAACTTTCTCTTTCTAAATACCCTGGATTCAAGCATAGCTTGCTCTATGGTGGGCACAATCTGGCAGGCATGCCTGGGTTTCCGGAGTGAAAAAAACCGGGCAAGCTGATAAAATGTTCTCAGAAGAAGGGAGGGAAGAAGAACCAGGCGGGAGGAAGGGAAAAGGGGGGTAAAGAAAGGGGACTTTCTAATGTCAGCCACGTGGGCTCTTTAGAAGATCTACAATGGGAAGTGGAAGGACCAAGGACAGGAGATTTTTACCCCTTTCCCCACAGCTGTGAGTCAGGCAGCTGAGCAGGTCTGGACGGTTCAAGAGAGAACTTGAGTAACTTTTGGTGGTCAGGTTGAGGCCTGGGTGAGATTATGGGAAGGGCACTGGTGAGTGAAGGGATGGGAAGTGGGGGCTGGGGTGTGAATAGGGGAAATGGAAGGGGCCTGCAGGTGGGAGTAGGTACAAGACAGATGATGAGAGGATAGGAGGAGGGCAGGAAAAGATGACACATTGCTTATGATATGATGAGTGTAAGTGGACATGGTGGTTCGGAGCCAGGGTACAGCAGTGAGGGTGGTTACCACAGAAAATGGCATCACACCAGATGGGGACTATGGGGGATTTTCCTCATACTGTGAAATAGGTACACGTATTCTTTCCACTTTACAAATGAAGAATCTGAGGCACAGAAAAGTTAGTAAGCTTGTCTGAATTTCCCAATTAGAACATGGCTGAGTCTAGGCATAATTCCCAGGAGTCATCCTGCTGCTTGGTACACAGGAGACACTGGGCCCCAAGGGCCAAGGCTTTCCTGGACCCATACAAGGAGGCACAAAAGTGGAATCTAGGTCTTTGAAACATCGAGGCTATACTCCTACTCTGTTCACATGGACTTCTATAAACATGGATGATGGGGGGAAGGTCTGCTCTGCAATGATGGCCACAAAGCTTGCTGTGTGTCCACCTAGCCAAGCCTTTGACATCCAGGACTCACCATGAAGTAATACAGCTGAGAGGATCGAGCCATGAACTCAGGCCGACACACAGCCACACAGATCTCCACAAAGCCTGCGTGCTGGCTGGGTTTGGCCTCTCCCATCTCACACACGATCCTATGGGAGGAAAGGAGACAGCTCATGAGCCACAGGACTTTCAACGCAGGCCCACAGCAGAGCCAGAACTCAGATCTGACCAAAGGATCTCAAGTCTTTTCTAGGATTTGGGCTGCCTCCATGATGTGTGTCTGCTGTCCCAGCTTTCAGGTCAGGAGAGGAGACACTTCCATGTATGTATATGGAGGAGGGTTTGGTATAGTTACTTTTGCAGATGTGTGTATGTATGTGTTCTCTACCTTACAGATGAAGAAACTGAGGAGCAGAAAAGGGAGGTTAGGCAACCTGCTTAAATATATGTTTAATATAAACCCTTACAGCATGGGGTTAAATCTATGGATTTAGTCAACCATAGATCAAAAATATTGCAAAACAGATTTTACCTGTATTGAATATATGTAGGCTCCTTTAAAAAAAGACACTTATTTTTATTTTATATTCCTGAGGATATGTCTGAATGTGTATATGCACATATATGACTGGCTCCCATGGAGGTGAGAAAAGGTGAGATCTCCTGGGACTGAAGTTGCAGGTGGCTATAAGCTATTGTGTAGGTGCTGGGAACCAAGTTGGGTCCTCTATAAGAGCAGTAGGTAGCCTAGCTACTGAGCAATCTTTCCAGTGCCCAGACTTATTTTTCTCATGAGTCCCTAAATAAAACAACAGAACAACTATTCGCCTAACACTTTTTGATGAATTAGGTATCAGTAATGGAGAGAGAACTGAAAATATGCAAGAGGGTACTCAGAGGTTGTCTGCAAAGACTGCTTTTTTATAGAAGCCACCTAAGCATCATGGATTTGAGTATCTGTAGAAGGTCTTAGAACCAGTCACCCATGGGCACTGAGAAGGTACCATTTACATACAAGCACACACACACACATCTACATGTGCACATATTATATGCATGTACACATACATGAATGTGGTACATGAATGCACACATGATTATATACATATTTATATATTTGTATAAATAAGCATTTTTAAAGCATAGCATATGCACTATTCTAAATACCAGGTTGAACTCAATAACATTCTAAGGTGCTTCCATCTAGCCTTGACATACATAGCTCTACTGTATTCTTCCTAACAGCTTTGAAATATTATGTACATGTTTAAAACTACCATTTATGTAACAATTGTTATATTATGGACATGAAAAGATTCTGAACTTTCTCCTTCTTAAAAAAAACAGCCAAATGAGCCAATATCCACATACCTAAGTATCATGTGTTTAATAGCACAGACTTCTCGGGAGGGAATGCACTGCATTAAATGGTTTGTTCCCTTAACGTTGACAGGATCCAGCTATGCCCCCAAAGCTATATTAATTTGCAAGTGTATCAGTGGTCCACTGTTTTAGCTAAGACTAGACAGTCACAATCCTTTGAAAGTTTTTCCAATATCCTACAGAAAAGATATCATTGTAAGTCCAGTGATTATCATGCTCATGTGACTGTTTTTACATTGCCTTCCTTTGACTTTTCTACCAAAGCCCTCTCTATTATGTTGACCAATTGTTCTTTTGTGACACCTTCTTAACTAGGCATAGTAACTTTTAATTGTTGTAAATGCTGCATTAATTTTCTTCTTGATTGTCAATTTGTTATCTATCTTTTAACTTGGTTTCAGTATCGTCTGCTATACCAGCATTCAAAAACATGTATGTGGCTAAACAGGTTCATCTTTTACCTTTTTGTTTCTAGTTTTGAGTCCTGTGGGGTTGTTGGTTTGGGCGGTTGGTTGGTTTTAGTGCTGTTTTTTTGGGGGGGGGATTTTTGTTTTGTTTTGTTTTGTTTTGTTTTTTTGAGGTGCAAGGGATCAAACCCCAGGGCTTGCACAAGTCACACAAGCATGCTGTCGCTGTCACTGAGCCACACCCTCAACTGTGTGGTTTCTAAGTCTTCTGTTCCTTAAAAAGAACGGCTGAGGAAAGGTTTTACAGTGTGTGTGTGTGTGTGTGTGTGTGTGTGTGTGTGTGTGTGTGTTTCTATATAGATAGCATAATAAACAAATGTTTGCTGTGAGGAAAAGAAAGAAGGACTTTAGCTTTTCTTCCTCAAAATGATTAGAAGCTGTATTCTGCTCCATCACCTGTGTGTGCACATGATACCTTGACACATATGTGCCTGTCTGTGATTTACTAGGACAGCAGACGAACTGCAATGCCTTAGCTGACAAGATTCCAGCTTTACAATAGTATGAGAGTGATATATAAGTCTGCAGATGGTAATCTACAATCTTGTACTTTGAGTTTGGTCTAGAATTTTGTACTTTGAATTTCGATTTCGATCTTTTTTTTTTTTTTTTTTTTTTTTTTTTTTTTTTTTTTTTTTTTTTTTAGCTAGCCACACATTCTATGATACTCTCTGTGATGCTGGCCAGTGACAAAAAGACTCAGGTCCCTGTGGGCCAGGAACTACAGGAAAAAACAACATTGGTAGCTGGTTATGAACACATGACACATTTTCATCTCCTGCTGTTTTCAGTTTATGAAGGGTTTATCAAGACACAGCGCTAAGGGCTGAGAATGCAGCTCAGTGGTAGAACAGTTGCCTAACAGGCACAGGGTCCTGGTCCAAAAGAGACGTAAGGTTGTGGAACATCTGCACAAAACCTTTCGAACTGATGAATTACCTATTCTTATCATTGCTTCAGAATTTTTCTATTATAAATAAAGCTGAGAAAAGCATTCTTAAATATGAATGTTTGCACAGTCTGGTTGTTGAGGGAATGTTCTAGAAACATAGACAAAAGAATGTGGAACATATCAGCTAGACCAGCAGTGGTTCTCAACCTGTGGGTCGTGACCTCCTTGGGTTCCAATGACACTCTCCCAGGGGTTGCCTTAGGCCATCAGAAAACACAGACATTTATATTACAGTTCATAACAGTAGCAGAATTACAGTTACGAAGTAGCAACAAAAATAATTTTACGGTTGGCGGTAACAACTGAGGAACTGTATCAAAGGGTCACAGGAAGGCTGAGAACCGCTGAGCTAAACTAAAGACTGTGGGGAACAGAGTCTTTTCAATACTGGGGATTGGATCTCGGGGTCAAGGGTTCTAGCACTGAGGCAGATATCCAGATCCACTTTCCTTTTCCTTTTTCTTTCTTGATTTTGAGACAGTCTCACTGAGCTGCCTAGGATGGCCTTAAACTCACCTGAGGAGTTTAAACTAGCTGAGGAAAGACTTGAGCGTGAGACTTTCCTGCCTCAGCCTCCCAAGTAGCTAGAATTATAGACTTGGACTTAAAAGTGCCAGCTGAAACTTGTTTCTGGCTTTCTTCTTGGTACTTTTAGGAGAGGGAGGGATGGAGGGAGAGAGCACACTGTGTGACTGTGTGTACATGGCTTATGTGTGTGATGCATGCATGTGAGATGTGGATGGACAGGCCTGTGTACACATGGCCAGAGCAGGGCGGTCAGGGGGCTCCACTCCATTACTTTCCCCTTACTGACTTGAACTAGAAGCTGACTGTCACTGAACTAGAAGCTTACTCTTCCATCTGGGTGAGCTCCCAGGATTTGTCTGTCTCTCTCTCCCAGTGCTAGTGTTACAGGCATCTGAGGCCATATGGAGCTTCCTACTAAGACTTTAAATCCATGTGTACAAATGCCTTCCTGAAAGTTTATCCCAGTTTTTCTCCAACCACAAGCAAGCAATAAAATTGATTCTGGTGTTTCCTTTTATTTCTATTTTTTGTTTTGTTTTGTTTTTATTGGGATAGCATCCCGTATATTCCAGGCTTTCCTCTAACTCACTAAGCAGTTAGAGAAGACCTTGAACTACTGATCTTTTTGTCTTTGCCCATCTCATCCCATGATTGCACCTGCCTTATGTGGTGGGATTGGAGTTAGGGCTTCCTGCGAACCAGGTGGGCACTCTACCCAGCTGGCCTCTGGAGCATTAACCTTTAAAAAAGGGCTCTCTGTTTCTTTCGTTTGCATTTCATTTCTCATATAAGTTTTTGGTTCTTTGTGTATTATATATTCATGAATTATATATTCATGCTCTTTGCTCATTTTGTGATAACTGCCTTTCATTTGTAAAGCCTCTTCATCTATTAACAAGAAGGTACCTATTAATTGTGATGGATATAACCATATCCCCAGCTTTTCGGGCACTTTTATTTTCCTTACAGATTTCTGATGTATACGTTTTCAAATTTTATGTACTCAAAACCTCTAATCTTTTCTTTATGTTTTATTTTCCAGCTCCTGATTGAAACATCTTCCCCTTCACAAAATCAAATGAATTTGCATCTGCATCTTTTTTTCTAATCTTTCGGTTTCATTTTTGTACCCCTAACTCTCTAATCTGCCTGAAATTTATTTGGCTGTATAATGTGAAATAAAGATCTGATATTATTCTGTTCCTCGTCTTAACCAGCACCATTTACTGAAGGATCTTGTCTTACCTTGTTGATTTGAACTGTCAGCTTCCTCACATACTAAATTCTTACTTGTCAGGATTGTTGCCCTGAGCATTCTATCTCACTCCATGGATCTAACTGATATTGTAGCACTTTAATCATCTGGCTTTCTAATAACACTGTTGACGCCTGAGCCATGGTTGAGGGTGTGAAGCTTCCCCGGTTCATGCAGTATCAGCAGCAGTTGGCTTTGCTTTGCTTTCATAAAATTGCAGGGACCACAGATAGATGCTTGGATCACTAAGTGATAGTGGCTGAGGGGAATGATTGCAAGTCAGTGTGGAACCTTCAACATTCCACTTGCTACCAATGCTGTGGGGATTCCCTGATGGAAGTCAGGAGGAATGGCACATGTAGCACCTATGTGGTTCCAAATCATTCAGTCCAGCAAGCAGAAGGGCAGGGCACTTCCCACAGCCCCATCTAATGCTCACAGGACAGCTGAAGAGATTACAGTCTAGGTGAGAGAGGATGGAATACAGACTCCACTGTGCTGTTAAACATTTCATAATTGTGTTTATTGGGACGGAAAGTAGTGTTTACTTTTTTACCAGACAATGTATGGCTACTAGATCTCCTCCACTAGTAAGGGTTAGGGGTCAAGGTCATCTGTTGAACGACCTTTTGCAGAGGCTTGCAAGGAGAAAAATTCACCCAAGAACACATAGGCCTGAGATTAAGTATGGGATTTCATTTTCAGCCTCCACAGAGGATAGCCTGGAGCTTATTTACCTGTGGGGAAGCTCATGGGGAGTTAGAAACAATAGAGGGAATTGAATTCACACTTCACGGCAGACTTTAATTTTGCTCTTTCTCACCTCTCCATACCCCCAGTTATTTCCCATCCTTGTCTACACCTCTCCCTCCCCCTCACAGTACTTCATCTCAGTAGTAAGGAAGGCAAAGGGCTGAGGGTGATTCTATAGACATTCTAGAATGTTAGCTGCAATCTACTCTCCCACCACATGGCTCTGCGTTTGCAAAATCAGTCAGTTCTTAATCTGAAAATCCCAAACCTCAAACACTTGAGCCTTGATATGGCACCGTCAGTGGAAACTTTTATACCAGGAAACTTTATTTTATGGGAGTTACTGTTTAAAATCACCTTCGAGCTATGTGTGTAATGTGTACACGAGACACAAACAAATTTTGTGTTAGATTTGGGGTCCATCCCAGGATATCTTATTATGTGCATACAAACATTCTAAAGTCTGAAAAAAAAAATCCCCTATACAAAATACTTCTGGTCCCAAGAATTGTGGGTACAGGCATCTCAAAGCTGTGCTGTCATCTTTCCCTTCCCTGTCGGTTCCTCCATCTCTCTCTCACTTACTGTTCTGCAGGGATGTAGCCGTCCACTAAGGGGCTGCATTCCACACCAGCCACCTTGACATGTGAAGCGATGTCCCGGAATTCCAGGCCCAGGTTCTCCCCTCGGATGGTGACCTTGGTGCCCCCTTCCCGAGGGCCCGTCACTGGGATGATCTACAGGGAGAAAGAGTCATGATCCTTTAGGCCCCAAGAAGCATCACCACCTACTTGCTGAAGAGGCCAAAGTAGGTGTGGCTCTTTATTGCCTTTGAGCACAGTTACCTAAGCAGGTCCAGAAGGAGTGTGGCTACTTGGGTAAAGAAGCTGTGTTCCTCTGTGGCCCTAGGAGCCATATTCAAAGCTCTTCATCTATCTTCCCACATCATAGAAGAAGAGACTATGACTGAAGTGTTACTACATACTCAGAGAAAATCAGGAGAGACGTCTGGTGTGAAATACAACCGTCCTACCCACCCAAGAAGCACCTACCTCTAGGACCACCTCACCCAGCTTTAAGGTCAATTTTCTAGTCTCCATATGTTGTTTTTATCACTGAAATTCCGAGGTGCTTTCTCACACTTCTTTTGTGTCAATCACTATTTGGGTCAAGTTCCCCATCCTTCCACCCCCCCCTCTTCTCTTGAGAATTAGCCTCTAACTGTAAGATGTCTCCAGTTCTTCCTACCTGTCAGTGGCAGCAAACTGTTGCAGCCAAGTCAACCTGCTAACCTTTCTTCAGAACGTATGGCATTCCATTCACCGTCCTCATTGGCCTGACTGCTCAGGGAAGTGGTTTTAATTTAGACTTTACCCAGGTACACTGGTCAAAGTGACTGTCCTTCCTTCTAGAGATGCCACCAAGGGTATTAAAGCTCATACTTAGAATTTAGGGACTCGGCAACCAGGCCTTGGCCTGCTTTGAGGTAGGGGCTGTGGACAGTGAATATCATCCAGTTGTTTCCCAAAGTAAAGCCCTCTCCTGTTCCTAGTTCTCAGATCATCTACACCCGTGGTGAGGTCCTAGCAAGATTCTGAATGGCAGGAGTCTCTAGTTCTTCCCAGAATGTCCTACTATTCCATTCTGTAAGGATTACATATGGGACAATGTTTTGAATGGCTGGTAATATTGGAGGAACCAAAGACACTAGACTGAGCTGTCCCTGGTGGCAGCTTTTCTGGGCAGGGGGGGGGGTGCCTGTTCACTTACCAAAGACTAGCAAGTTCCTTCCTCTTACATATCCCATGTGGACACGTGCTTGTGAGCCTCCATGCGGTGTGAGTTTACACAGGCATGGTCCCATGAGAGTGAAGACAGCTTCATTGGAAAAATGGGCCCACTGCTGCTCAAGTGCAGTGGGCAGATGTGTGGGAAGCAGGGAGGGAATGCTCATGTCTGACCCCCCCATGTTTGTCCAGGTGGTAAGTCCTCAGTGCATCTCTAGCACCTGGTAGGGGTGCCTGCATGAAGTTACAGCCCTAGCTTGTCATCCTGTAAGAGGGGTTTTATCTTTGGACCAGTCCATGGTTCCTCAGAAGGCTGCTGCCAGGTTAGAGGCAGCCTCCACCATAGGGAGATTTGTCACTTCAGTCCTGTGATTTTCTTGGATTCAGGCCAAGAGGAAAGCAAAGCCAGCTGACAGGTTTCAATGCACTAAGTCACCATGTGCCACAGCCCCAGGGATGGCTTAGCTGTTAACAGCATGGGGGTAGTAGCTCACAGAGGATGCTCAGGATTTCTAATGCACTGGAAAGAAGAGATAGGGATGTGGGAAAGTGGGTTGAAGGGCATTTACCAGCCCCTACCCAGTCCTCCAGCCTGGAAATCACCACAGACAATAGAGTGAAGTGGGGGTTTGGATTAAGTCCCAGATTTGATATCATCATCATGTTGAAGATGAAGAGTCTCAGGTGAGGGATGCATTTTGAAGGCCATCTGAGGTGCCATAGAGGATTCATTCATAAAAGCCAACACTGTTTCTGCTCAGACCCATCCCAGTGGCACAGTTTGTGAGAGGAGTTTATGTCTTGTCACTGCAGTAAAGAAGAACATGAGTCCAGATCTGTGGAGATTTGGAAGGCAATGCTATTTTCTTTATACTCTGGTTATTGTAAAGCCAAAGCTTTACAATGAGACCTAATTGACTAGAATCAGAAAGAAAGAAAAGAAGACCTCCCCTATCAGTGGACTTGGGGAGGGGCATGCATGCAGAGGATGGAGGAGGGGAGGGATTAGGATGGGAGGAGGGAGGGAACTTTGTATCCCACAGGGGGATACAAAGTGAATAAAGTGTAATTAATAAAGAATAAAAAAAGAAAGATAACAGCGCTGGCTTTCACAGGTGTGAAGGGTTGAAATACGACCTCCCCCGTTTATAGGTGGAAGTCCTAACTACACCCCTTCCCTCTAATTCATAGGTAAAAGTCCTAACTATTCCCTCCCCTCCAATTCATAGATAAAATTCCTAACTCTGCCCCTCCCCTCCAATTTTCATAAATGAAAGTCTTAACTCTGTCCCTCTCCTCCAATAGGTAAAAGCATAACTATGCTCCCCTCCTCTGATTCATAGGTGGCAGTTTTAACTAATCTTATTACTTAGTTACTTTTCCTGTTGCTATGACCAAGTACCTGAGAGAAGCAACAAAGGAAAAGGATTTATTTTGGCTCATGTTGTGGGGATTAGATCTATGGTAGTGGGGAAAGCCTTGCAGAGGGCTTGGTCCCTGGTGGCAGGAGCATGTGGCAGCTGCTTGTTGCATGGCATTACCTATAAAGCAGGGAATACAGTTGGGCTCTAACTGTCAATGCTTACCCTCCAGGAACCCATGTCCCCCAGCTTGGTTCCACCTCCTAAAGTTCTACCATCTCCAAAAGCATAACTACCACCTGGAGACCAAGTGTCTCCCATGAGCCTGTGGGAGACATTTCGTATTCAAACCATAATATTCCAGCACCTCAGATTAGGTAGAGATAAGTCTTTACAGAGATCGTTAAACATAAAGGATGCTATTAGGAAAGGTCTTAACCCAGTGTGATCATGGTGTTTTTAAAAACAAAAAACAAAACAAACAAACAAAAGCAACTGGGACATGCATGGGGAAACCATAAAGGGGGCAGTAGACATCTAACCACTTCCTTCACACCCTTCAGAAGCAACCAGTCCTGCCAACACCTTGGTCTTGGACTTTTGCCTCCAGGACAGTTGATTGTTTAAGCTACATGATTTGTGACATTTAGTTACAAATCCCCAGGACCCCAATATAACAAGGCTTCTGTGCTGACCAACCAGGGATATAAAGGGAATATGCAGAAGCCAAAGCACAACACACATGCATAGTCTAGAACCATGGACATCATTGCTCAATATGGGAGGAGTACATTGCAAAACTGAGCAAAGCTGGGTGTGTCCTCCTGATTGGCAGATACAGATACAGCTGTTTACTTCCTTCTCTTTGTCCTCTTTCCCACCAAATCATAATCATCATCCTCCATGGCTGAGAGATATTGAGTACCTACTGTGTGTTCCTGAGGTGATGGGAAGATTAAATAAGATGTGATCCTTATTTAAAATATTTAAATAGAGACATATTTAAAAAGAGACATGCATTTCTCTTCCTATTTAAGAAGTGAGCAAGGATCTTCAGCTTGGCGGAAGAATACCTTAGGTGTATTTACTGTCAGAAGTATGGAATCGGGACAGGAGCAGCAGCTTCCTTGTTTAGATACCATTGGTAATGATTTTAACCAGAATGGTGATGAACAAGAAGGAGGTTGGGAGGCTGATGAACTTCCCAAGAGTGCTACAGAGGCCAAGGAAGTACCATGGCCTTCAAGCCAATCCTTGAAACTCACTCGTGGGACAGCAGAAGTTTAGACTCACTGCATAGGTGAGGCATGCTGAAAGAACTCTACATGACCCTGCTCTGTCCCCACTACCTATGTACTTTGCTCTGCCCAGTTCTTCCCTATTCTCCACATTTAGACTTCTGAACTGAATCCAGATATATTTCTAATTCTATGTCTAGATCTTATTGAGGCAAGTCTGAAGTCTCCTGCTACTCTCCAGAACTGGCTTTGCTCCCTGGACACAATGCAACCATAACTATTGACCAACTTCTAGTAAGGCGAAGTTGGTGAAGTTTCACAGCCTTGACACTGAGATGTCTGGGCACAGAGGGAGGGAAGAATAAGGTTCTAATAGGATAGTGGAGCCCCTTTCTGTCCCCAACCCTCCTGGGCCAGGGAAAGTTCTCGGAACCAAATCTAAGCTTCTAGAAGAAGCTGTGAAGGAAAATGAGGCTATGCCCCACCATTCAACTCTACCTGATAATCAACACCATAGGCAGGAATTGTCTCGAGAGCCCAGGTCTCTGGCAAGATATAGAGTAGTTCAGCAGCCTAGAGTGTCTCCAGGTGGGGTGGTGGCTTACCTCTGTGATCCGAGGGTTGGTGCACTTGCTGTTGGCTCCCGACAGTTCCAGCCACCGGCTCTCATGAGCAGGGCAGTGCTGGCGCAGGGTGCACTGGCTTGGGCTCTGACACCAGCCACACTCAAAATCGGGGTCAGCCTTGAGGCACAGGCCACAGCTCTCACGCATGGCCCCACACTTGTAGAGGTAAACTGGAAGACAAGGACAAGGGGCACTTTGGGGTAAAAAGTGTCTGAAAGTGCCACAGGGAAACTGTCTCTTCATTTGGTCTCAGCCATCCTGCACAGCAAACTTCAGCTACTCTGCCATGACAGTGCAGAAGTGCAGAGCCCAGGGTCAAAAAATGACAGGGGGTGGAGAAGAGCTAGGTCTGCGAAGAAAATGCTCAAGGCCCAAGGGAGATTGACAGCTGCTGGGAGTTAGGGATAAGATGACAGAGATGACATCTTCCCCAAAATGCAGTGCTGCTCTGCTCTCTCCTTCCTTCCCTTGCCCCATTCCCACCCCTCCCTGCCTTCTCTATCAGCCCTCTTCACACCTTTATTCTGGGCTGGGTTGTCAATGTTGAAGTGTCCATTCCACACGACTGTCAACTCCACCGGCAGGTTGTTGATCTCCATTCCTTCATAGGAATACTGCAGCCAGAATGAGGGGGCAAGGAAAGAGGGGAAAAAACAGTTACGGAGATCTCTATGGAGACCTGAGCACTTAGCCTGGGGCCTTCAAGAGCACACAGGGTTAAGGACTAGCCAAGATTGTGTCTATGTATATATTCATAAATATACATACACTTGTATGGTGAGCTGGAGGGCTAGAGGAGCCAGGTGATAATTTAGAGAGTAGGGCTGGGCCTCTATAGAATACCTCTATGGCAGTGTAGCTGTGCAACAAGCTGCCTGTGCAACAGTATAGCTGCATAGCAACACATCAGAGCAACAGTACATGTGTGGGGACCAGTTCGAGAAATATACTACGGCAGTCAATGTAGAGACATGTGCCAAAAATAAGTAATTGTGCATGCTTTGGACCCAATGGGACATGGTTATCAACTCCTGTGTTCAGGGGGATCCCACCAAGGCCAGGGAACATAAGACAAGACAGAAAGAATGTGAAAGCCTCAGGAGGAGGAGGAGTGCTGCCTGCCGGTCGAGAAATGGCCACCACACTCATGGACTCATAGCATCTGTGGTTACCTGCACAAGGTCAGGTCAGTCCAGCTGTAGCATGGATGTGAGGAACTCACATGGCCTCCTCAACCGAGGAGTGATTGGCAGTTAAAGGCTGGTGGCAGGGCAGGTTTTGGTTTTGGTTTTGGTTTGGCTGCTGCTAAGTTGCCCACAGTCCAGCAGGTAGTCCTATACTCATGAGTCTATGGAAAGCACTAAAAGAGCTTAGTAGGTTATTGAGAAGAGGAGGAGGAGGAAATAAATTTGAGAAAAGTCTGTGTGTGTGTGTTTGTATGCCAGGGAGAGTTGCAGGGGAAAACTGGTGGTGGTGACCATATTTCATTGTATACATGTATGGAATTCTCAGAAGGGGGAAAAAGAAACAGACTGGATAAACTGCTCATAGCAGCCAAGGATCTTAAGAAGCACGTCATAGGCAGGAGTTGATCCCAGGATAGAGCCCTGTTCTGTCCTGCCTGCCCAGGAAACACTGGTCAACAGGCTCTGCCAGGCTGCACCTCTACAGGGAACTAACTCTCAATTCCAGAAAATGTTCAGTGTAGGTCATCTGTTTTCCAAAGGCCTGGAAGAGGGAGTGGGTAGCAATAAATACAAATGAAGGGGTGATGCTCAAAAGGGGATAAATGGTTGAGGATAAGAGACAGGTGGATCCCATGGAAGCTTTAGGGAAGCATGGGAAACCCTGTGCTTGCACCCTGCCCCTGCTGCCACCAGGACAAGCCTAGGTGTCGGAGTAAGATCTGAAATGCACTCACATCCTCAGCTCCCCACCATGCATTACCCTCTCACCCTGGAATGACAGTTGATACCCCTGCATCGGACCTATCATTTAGATCCTCTGCATGCTCTACTCAGGACTTACTGTTCTGAACAAAGACTGGTCCTGAGTAAGAGATGGTGATGAACAGTGGGAAGAGGATGCTGCCTTGGGGACCCTGGGTGCAGTAAGAAGGTTCCATGTGTGTCTTCCTCTGCTTATGACTGCAGTTACTGGTCAGTTAGGAGAAGAGCAGTGAGCAGAGGGAACTCAGCTTGCCATGGGCAGCCACTACTAACTTATCATACCAGCAGACTTCCCTGCCACAGCGGGTAGGATGGGCTGAGGACTGACTCACCCAGTGGGTTTAGTTAGAAGTCAGATTTGTAAATTCAATGGGCTCTTTCTGGCCCAGAGCCAAGGTGTGGAGGGCCTGGACTGTTGTGGAGGTGTGGGTAGATATCAGGGGGGATGCTGGACACTGTCCCCTCTCCAAACTAGCTAGAACACTTCCAGTGAGCAGGAGGGAGAATTAGCCACAGATAGTGAACATGCTGGCCTGGCAAGAATCTCTGGGGCTGGAGTCCAAGCCACTATCGCTGGGCAGGAAGAGATTTGTTGGCTTGTTATAGAAACTTCTAAAGTGCAGAAAATTACCCCAAGTCCCCGAGTTACAGAATGAGCCACATTGTGAGAATGGTGGGGTGTTCTACACAATAGTGAGCATCATGTGTAGTCAGGCTTCTCCAGGCTCTATCCTAGCATTCAAAAGTTTTAATTTCCTTCTTCCTGGCAGCATAAACCCAGCCCAGCCAGAAACACTTGGCATTTTCCCCAGCAAAATAGATGGCTAGGGAGAGGATCCCAGCACACTGTTCACACTTAGCAGATCTGTGACTGACACCTGCTGAGAGAAGAAAGCCACGGCTCCTTGACCTGAAGAAATGACAGAGGAGGTTTTGGTTTAGTACAGCCATGCCTGCCAAATCTGAGAAATATTCTGAAGAGCCCCCAGTAGCATCTGACTTTGCTCTTTTTACTTTGTCCACACATACCAATGATGCAGGTATAATTCAGGTACAGTATTAAATTAGCAACGACTTAAAAAGCAGGACAATTATGTGCATCCCCCACTTACTTCTCTAACAAGCTGGTAACTTTGTATGATAACCAAGAGTCCAGCCGGTAGCCTAAGCCTATAATCCAGCCAGACATATGAGGATCTCTTTGAGTACCAGGCCATCCTGGTCTACACAGTAGGTTTTAGGCCAGCCAAGGCTACATAATGAGACCCTGTCTCAAAAAGCTAAAAAACAACAACAACATCATAATCAAGTTTTCTACTAAGTACCCAACAGGCAGGTAGCATATATTTGATGGATACACTGGAATAAGATACAAAGATACAAATGGTTCTGCTATGTAGGAAAACAAGGGGAAGGCTCCCATGAAAAACCTATTCCTGGAATTTTCTATTTAATAGTTTCTGATTGTGGCTGCCCATGAGTAACTATGAAAAGTAATATTGTAGGTAAGGGAAGACAACTTAATCAACTCCCCAGGGATGGAGCTGGGAGGCAATCAACTCAAAATAGCTTCAGGAAGTCCCTAAAACTGACTAGATTCATTGGGTCCCTCTCTCCCAGAGTAAGCACCAAAGCTGCAAAGAAGACTCTCAGAAGCCAAGCTGCAAAGACCCTGAGCCAAGCCAGCTTCGTGAAAAAGTGACATACCAACAGAGCTGCCTGGAACAGACTTAGACCAAACTCATGCATCTGGAAAAGACTTTCTAACCTGTTGAACTGACAATAGGTTGTGCAGTGGGCTCCAGGTTCCCAGCTTTTGGAGCTGTCACCCATGCTGGAGTGGGATTTGGTGATGCAGCTATCTTTAAGTCATTGCTGCTCCTATGACTAAGCTTTTACCTTTATCCCAATAAAACTTATTGGTTGACCAAGTTGGTAACCATACATTGGTCTGTCATGAGTTCCCTATTTGGGGTGAGGAGACATGCGTGTTGTATCTCCCTAGGAAAAGTTTTGACATAAAACTCTGGATCATCCCAAGTTATGTCACTTTAGCCACTGGAAAAAGATTAAGGACTCCTTATTAGAATGAGGAGAGAGGTTCAAATCCTAGTAGGGCCCTACCTTAGAAGTGGCTAATTACACTGTTGGGAGGTAGAGGACATTTTGAAAGAGTTTTTCTGTGGTTGACCAAAAATTAATCAATCTTCCAGAAGTAGGGAGTCAGGGGCTGCCCAGAGGAGGGAGTATGTAGAAGAGGGTAACCTACTTTTGTGAGACAAAGCAGTGGGACACTCACTGAATGTTCTCCCAGTCACTTCCTCCCCATCCCAGCCCCTTCTGCTTCCTTGCAGGCCTCTAGACCACAGTGGGGTGAGATGATTAAGGTATTAGACTCCCCAATGAAGGCCTCTAGGTAGAGCCACCCGGTCCACCCAAGCAACTGAACACCTAGCAGCGCTAGACATCCACAGACTTGGACTTTGGAAGGTTGCTGGGGTGACCAAGTCAAGCTTGAAGCCCGGGTTCTGTCCCTCAAGACTGCTCTGGCCATAACGTAATATGGGAAGAGCAGCTGTTGAGTGGAGTGGAGTTAGCCAGATGTCAGTGAAGTGTTCAGTCCCCTCTCAGTATGGTCCTGAAATGGCCCGGGAAAAAGGGCAAGAAATTCTTACTATACATGTATGTGACTGTCTGTGGTATGTATATGTATGTACATGTGTGTGTATGCATATATGCATATGTTTCTCTCTCATACTCACAAACACACACACAGAGAAAGAGAGAGAGAACATGAACATGAATATGAGCAAATGACTCCAGTTTTGGGTCCCTCATTTGGAAAGCTAGAATTAAGAAACAGCACACACCTTTGATGATTATCATGTGGCCTGAATATAATACATACAAAGCTCTGAGCACAGCGTCTGTCACCTGCTATAAGCCTCAACGAGTGTGTTTTGATCTGAGTGTATACACCTGGGGATGCTCTGTGAAACTGTTTGTGATGCCTGTGTTTGTTTATGGAGACTAATAATAGCAGCCACGAACTGAGTGTTTATGTGCCAGACACTTGGTACATATGGAACTGTATGTGTATGAGAATGCTTATGTGTTCTGGTGCCTGCACATGTCTGTGTGCATTTTCCTTCTGAAGAAATTTGGAAAACAAAAGGCTATGAGGATCAAATATGCTGGGCAATGTTTTTTCTTTCTCTCTCCTCTTTTTTGAGGTTGCAACTGGGAAATGCTGTAGACATCATTAACCCCAACTGCCCCCACCAGCCCGGAGCCTCTAGGGAAGTCGCTGTGTTCTGGAGATCTGCCCTCTCTAGGTGACCTGCATCTATACAGGGCATATAGGGCATAGTAGGCACTGTCTGTGTGTCCCTAAGCTGGGCAGCTTGGGCCACTGGCTCCCATCCCCCTGACCGCCCTCCTCTGTTCCACTTAGCATTTATATAGCTCTCTGTAATCAGCAGCAGTTCATTTGTACAAAGTTCAGGGCTGCACAGGACAGAATGGAGGAATCAGGGGAGGTCGCAGGCTCCTGAAGACCAGGAGGTTAAGTGTCTCAATCAAGGCAGGCATACCTCCATCACCTCTAGTGGATGACTTCTCCATCACCTTGGGGATGCATGACCCCCAGCTTCTTCTTCTAAGTCAGGGAAGGCAGCGACATGGAGTTATTCCTGCCTCTGAGCACTCCCTTGTCCTAAGTGCTGAGAGACTCTGCTAGAGGGTTCTACTATTTGAATAAGCAAGTGTCCCAAACACACAAGTACAGCAGAGTTAGTTGGGGCACTGTGTTTATTTCCAGGGCTCTGGCCTGCTTCATGGCCTCCCTCCCTCTTCGACCAGCACTGCAGTGGGCTGTGCCCTTTGCAGCCCACTCATGCTCGTGACCGCCAGCCTGAGAGGAGGTGGCAGGCTCTATTATTAGCAGCACTTGACATTTTCCTGGAGCCTTGGTCTAAAGTAGGCCATGCATCCCCACAGTGGCTTCCTCAGTGGCTGCCTGCAACCAGCCCTCTGCTCCTCCCACTGTCCCCAGGAGCTATAGCAGTGTCCCCAGGCCTGTCCCCAAATAGTGGATCTGGAAGTGACACCATCTGCCTACTGTGGCTGGAGTCATGCCCACACAGGGCTTGTTTTCATGTTCCCACGCTTTCTCTGCTCTTCTCTGACACCTTTTTCACTAATCTCCTTTTGCCAACAAACTAAGCTTTACCATTGGACTTGTTCCCTCTCTCCATCCCAGGTTACTTAGGGATTTAGGAAAAATAAACAATCTCTCCTTCACACTCCACCTGCAGGCCAATCACAGGTGGTCCCAGGGACAACACAAAGTTGAGAATAAGGTAGCTCCAGGATTGAGTTTTGCCCGGCTTGTCAGTACAGGGTGTGCTGATGAAACCCGATTCAAATTCTGAATTTGCATCTCGTGAGCTGTGAGCCCAGGAGGAAGCCCCTTGTCCTCTCTGGGTTTCAGATTTCCCTCTCTTAACAGAATCCAGAAGATTCTCACCCAGATTCTTCCCATAGTACCTCTTTTCTATAACTCTAGGAGTGGGGTTTGTTTAGATTAATAAGGCTACATGGCATCATGGCTGAGATCAACCTTACACTGGAATCTACTTGACACAAACACACACACCCCTTGTGCCCCTCCCAGAGACATGCTCCTCGGGAAAGGCAGGGCTGAGCCCTCTAGTAGGATTCCAGTGGGTCTAGTAGGGACAGGGAACTCCTCTTGAATCTTTTGTAAAGTTACCCCTCCTACTAACTTAAAACACTCCTATCACTGGGATCAGAGGTAGCTGAAGTTTGTGATAGCCCTGAGGCCCCAGAGCTAGCTGAGTTAGACCTGACTGAGGACAGATCAGTGGGAGCCTCTGCAGCTCCCAAAGGGGCCAGCGCTTTCCGTGGTGGTTGGTTAGAGCCTTGGTTCCTGTATCCAGCCAGCCATAAGTCTTAACATCTTCCAGAAGTAAGTAGATCTGCAAGCACCTGGGGCTCAGAATATAGAGGCCTGAACCTGCACCAAAAGCATGAGTATCCACAAGGCCTGAAGCTCTGGGTTTCCAGATGAAAGGGTCCCCATGGGGAGTTGCGTCACCTTTTGGATCCTTAAACCCTGAAGTCAAAATCAAACAGGCAAGATGAATAACCCACACTGTTCTCTCCTGTTCCTACTCATGCTGACTGAGCACTAGCGCCAAGCACTCATGGGACACCGTGGAAGAGGGGCAATGCTGGCCTACCCCTTTGTTTCCTCTATTATAGGCAGCTCTAATGTCACCTGCATGTCCAGAGACTCTGTGACGAGTAAGGGCTCATTGGGCAAGTGGCCCTTGGAACTATGTTTGCGGAGACCATGGCAATTAGACCTAGCCATCCAGACTGCTTCTGATCTGGAGCTGAAGAGAATGAGCAGCTAGTCTAAACCAGCTTCTTGGAAGGTCAGTTGAGTCTCCAGGGCACAGAGGACAGTTTGACTGGGGATTTACAGGATCAGGTTAAGCTAAGCATGGGGATCCAGGGACATCTTACAATATGCGTGACCTTCTCTCTGTGACCAAGATCATAGACTCTCTCCTCACTCCAGACATTTCCCACACCCTGAGCCAGCTTCTCCCAGAATGACAGTCTGTTTTCCCCATGGTCTGAAATCTCACTCTATCTGAGGAGTCTGACTCCCCTTTCTACTACGGCCTTCTTGTTTGGGGGAGAATTACTTGAGCTAAACCTTGGAAGCTGATTTGCTTGGCCTGGAGATTTGTGGGGATGTAGTTAATATTTCCTGTGCTTGCAGGGTTAGAACACTGAACAAATCTGAAAAATAGTCTAGCTGCTCACAGAAGCAAGAGAGATGCAGCTGAGAAGCTGTGCGGACAGGTCAGCCCCTGTGCTGCTAAGTGACACAGAGCAAGAATGTGGGCTTTTCTGAGCCCCATTCCTCCTGGACTACTCCCTGACTGAAATTTCAAAGGGTTCCTATGTAGTTTTTTTGTGTGGGACCCTCTGGACCTGAGAGAAAATAAATTAAAGCCATTGTATTTACCTACTCAACAGCAACTAGAGGTGTGATTGCATGACACAAAAGGGACCCCAAAGCCAGGCACTGTGGAACCTCGAGTTAAGTCAATTCCCTTTGAGCAGGGGCAGGTTGTCTGGAAGCAAGTGGAGCCTGAGTTTCAGGTGCCCTGCTATGACTTACCCACAAATCTAGTTTCATGTTGTTGTTGTTGTTTTTTTTTTTTTTTTTTTTTTACATTTGGACACTACAAAGGGTACGCCAATTACATCAATATCAGCTCCCAAACCTGTACCCCAAAATCTTGGCCTTTATGTTTTTTCCCTTCTTTTCTTCTGCCCTTCTCTCATTTTTTTTCCTTTCTCAGGACAGGGTCTTATTCTGTAGCCTACATCAGGCTTAGACTTGTGATGATCCTCCTGCACCAAACTCTCAAATGCTGGGATTATAGGCATAAGCTACCACACCTGACTTCTGCTTCAGCTGGTCTCAAGCATCTAGGTGAAGAGAAGGGAGCCCAGGTAAGTGAAAGGTTACACAGCCAAGCCTGGAAGGCAACATGTGAAGGAAAAGAATAAGCTGGGTGGAAAGGACACATACTCATGGACAGTGTTCCCTAGGGATCCAGAGGACAGCTATTGACATCCTGGGAGCTTCTGACCCGCATTGGCAGAGCTTGCCCTTAAATATGGAGCTTGTGAACATGGGCAGGGGCCAGTTGATCTAAGCCAGCTCCTACCCCATCAGTGGTGTTTGATGCTGACACTTGGTCTGTCCCCAGTCATTCTTTGCTAAGATACGTCTAGCATTTGTGCAGGTTTAAAGGCAGTGGTGGGCTTCTGTGGGCTCAAATGCATCACTCAGGTCAGACTGGGTGAAAAGGAAGTGCTTAGGTTTTCTAGAACAGCTTTCAGTAAAGAGGAAGCTCAGCTTCCTATAGTTGCATCTACAGACAGGGCTCCCACACTGACCAATAGTACACTTTGTGCAGGTGACCCTCATGACACCATGGCTACAATCAGAGTCCACAGCTGGTAGACTTTTTGGTGGCCCTAGAACTCATTATGCCATAGGTTCAGGGGCTGTATTGGACAGACAAAATAGGAGTAGAAAAACGGATTCAGGTAAACAGGGAGCCCAGGGATCTTTGGGATAGCAAGCCCAGCAGAGCTGAGATGATGGGCTTACTGAAGCCCATAGCAACAGGGCCAGGAGGGTGACTCACAGAAGTGTTCTGACACTGCACACTGGAGCTGTTGAAACGCAGGGCGGGTACCCTCTGCTCGCTGCCCTGGATGTTCAGGATGCACTCGTAGCCTCGCTGTCCCGACTGAGGCTGTGGGAGGTTCTTAGCCTTCAGAGTGATGGGCTTGATCACCTCTACTGGTACCAGGATCTTGTCCACTCGCAGCAGCTGGGGGCAGTCCTGGGGACAGAAGGCATGGCTCAGCATGGGCATGGGGGAAAACAAAATGTTTGCAGTGACCTCTGCAAACATTACACAGATGTTGACCTTTGCTATGGCCTGTTTGCCACATGATCACATACCCATTCTCGCACTTTGGGTAAGAATAAGAAATCTCAAGTCTTAGTGTCACTGCCTTGAGGCCACTCCTCCTAGAGTCTATCCTTGGTCTCTTTAGGTTAATTTTAATGTCAATTTATAGCCAAGATGTTCTAATGGGTCTGTGGGTCCCTCTCAATTCCTTTCCTTCGTTGGCAGACACTGCCCTTGCTGCCTGGGCAGCCTACTTCTCTGGGGACTGATGGCATCTTTGCCTGCCAAGTTCCAGGCAGCCAGGAGTTGGGACAGATGAGCCATATGGAGAGCTACACATGAAGGCAACAGCCTGGGCCTCAGCTTTGCCATAGAATTCAAATCTGGAACACAGCTGGGAAAACCAAGAGGGCCTTTATTACGTGGGCTGAGTGCAGCATTTGACAATATTCTGGAGTAGTATTTAGGAGACTTCTCAGTCCAGAAGCTTCTCACTAAGCTCTGAGGATGGCTGAAATGGAGAAAATGCCCCTCATAACAGTCACACAGGGCTGCTCTTCGAGCAGTGGCACTGTTAGCCCGGGAACCACAGAGGGCCTTTGCTGTGGGGGAAACGAATCACTGGGCCCTTTTCCTTTTAGACAATCAGCACTATTATGAGAGGCTGAGATGGGCTTGTGGGATAATAAAGTCAGAAGAAGATGTGGTGGGGCCTCTGCTTTGTGCTAGGAAGGTGCCACCATCCCCCAGGCTTCTCCTCCTCTCCAGGCATTGTCAAACCTGATGACCTTTGAGCAGGCTAACCTTAGAAAGCATGGTGCCCGCGTACTTCCTGGGGATGTTCAGACACAGTGTTGGTCTCCATGGAAGTGATATTGACTAAAGAAACCATGGGGGAAGGATACTAAAGACTAAAGTGGTCTTATAGACAACTGAGTGCTGTCTCTCAAAGCAAATGAGCCACTGGTTCCCTATGTCACTGAGAGCTCACCAGAATAAAACTGACCTGATGACCTACCCTAGCACACTCTTACCCTGAGATTCAACATCCCTTTGTCTATTAGGTAGGACTTGGATATCTTCAGAACATGGAGGAGCAGTACACACCAATATTCCATCCATCAGGTGTCCCCTAAATAGCTGAAACAGATTCTTAGGTCCTTATTTGCTATGTTCACAGTAGCATCAGTCATAATAGCTGAGAGGCAGAGGCACCCTAAGTGCCCATAGATGGACAAAAAGATAATATATATTTATATGTAATATATATCATACCCACACAATGGAAAAGTATCTAGCCTTAAACAGGGGTGAAAATTCTGACCCACACAGCAATATGGTTAACACTGAAGATACTGTGCTAAGTGAAATAAGCTAGCACAGCAATGACAAATTCTGTGTGATTACATGTGCACAGGGCAGCTAGAGTAGTCATATTCAAAGACAGAAAGGAGAATGATGATACCTAAAGTAAGTGGAAAGGGAATGCTGCTCCATGGGAAGAGCTTTAATTGGGGACTGTGGGGATAATTATACAGTGTGAATATAGTTAACTGTACCCTCAAAATAATTTAGAAAAGTGTTGTTTCCATTTGTGTATTTCACTACCATAAAAACCAGCCAACTAAAAACATCTTAAACATAAAAGTCTCAAGGCAGCAGGATAGTAGGGACAAGGACATACCATAGCCTTGATGATTTTCCTCTTATGGAAAGTCCTAAGGTTCTGGGAACTATGAGGCACCCACATACAAAATCTTAGAGACGCTATTCCTGTGCACCCCCTGAATCTATCTGCTCCCCCCCACCATGCTCTGACAAAATATGAACGTGGGATACATAGGCAAGGGGGATGGTTCCTTGGAGAGGATGCTTGCGCTGAATAGGGAAGTGGGTGAGGCTGGTGGACTATCAATAGCAGTTCTATGAAGAACAGGGAGTCATGAGCCAATCCTTTGGTACTGCAGGCCCACCTCTTCATAAGCCCAGGGAGCTGGGCCTATGATGAGAGAACCAGGGTGTGTTGGTCCCTCTCACCTCCATACCCCTTGGCAAATGTTGCCATCTATGATCAGGCCCAGGGAACCCAGAATTCCAGACTCCTCTGAAAAACCTGACTAACCCCTTCCTAAAGGAGAAACCGAGTCATGGAGTGGATTAAGAGAGAGTAACTCGATGTCAACAGGTGGGTTAACAGCTAGAAAAGCCACTTGCTTATATCACCACCCTTTCTCTCCTCTGTGAATGAATAGGTCCAGATGAACAGGACCCCCTTGGAATGGAATCTCTCAGTCAGTTGGAGCCAGTGAGACACACTTGAGCTAGGCTGGAGCCCTGCCCTGTCCAGGAGATGGCAAGAGCTAAAGACTTTCTCACTTGTCCCCTGTAAGATTCTCACTGAAGCTTGTTAGGAATGCTCTAATGAGTCCTGATTAGCAGTGGCCCCATACAGGCCTAGTTTGCATATAAAAAGGTTGGCAGTTCTGAGAGTAAGTTCATTAATAATAATTGGAGAGGCCCAGGAACTGGATGGACACATCTTCCTCTAAGTGGTGCTGATGTTTGACCCTAGTGCCCCTGCTTAATTGAAATGTAAAACGGCAATTTTCCCCTAGGCATCAAGGCATGAAGAGGCCATCTCCACCACCCCGCCCTTCATCCCACCCTTCATCCCAGGCTGACCTGATGACTGCTAAGATGCCAGGTGCAAAACCGCCACCTACAGACTCGAAACTCATGGGAAATGTTAGAGAAGGTGCCACACTCCCCTAAGCCTTGAGTCTGAAGCCCTGCTTCTCAGTCCAGAGTCTTAGGGACTCTGACACCTTGGTCATCAACATTTGGGGTTCCACAGCTAGTGAGTGATTCTGGGAAGTCACAGAATTAAGTTAGTGAGTCCATGTTTCCTTCTGCTGGTTTCAGAACCATGAAGAGTGCTGTCAGTGGCTGACATAACTCAGGGGGTGAGAATTCTTCTTCCAAATGAATGTTCTGGAGATTCCATGAGTTACAAATGGGCAAGACTCAGAAAAAGCCAGCACCCACCCAGCAAGGGTTTCTTCTTTCCTTGTCTCCCTCAGCTCAGATTGCAGCTTTGTCCCTCTCCTTTTCCAAGTTATTCCTCCTATTCATAGGACCCATCTAGCCCACTCCTGCCTCTCTGCCTTTTCCAGAATTATACCATCACTTTTCATTAGCATATTCCAGCCTTCTAGACTTCATTGTCTCTTAGTGGACCTGGCTCATTCCAATATCTTCAAGTGCTTTAAGCATAGGCGAGACAAGTAGGAAGGAATTTCTTCTGTCCCAACTTTCCTATTGAGAGTCCTCTCTGAGATTGTTCTGTTTTGGTAGATAGAATCCTATAACCTTGAAATGGGTTAGAATGGCATCACTTTCATTTATATACTTCACTACCATGAAAACAAACCAACCAATAATCTTAGAACACAAAGGAGTATCAAAGTCTCAGGGTAGAAGGAGGAACACATCATGGCCTTGTTCTACCTCTTATGGGAGGTCCCAAGGTTCTAAGTCTTTGGGAACCATGAGGCATGCACACAGGGGTTCTTAGTGGCTCCATTACTGTACACCAGTGCATTTATCTGGTCCCCTGAATCTATCTTATAGAAGTAACATTCTGCAGTCATGTTGCCACATGATCTGAGATCCACTAGCCAACCACATGGCCTTGGGTATGCCACCAAATCCTCCCTTCACCTATCAAATAAAAACATTGTCTGGACTAGATGATTTTTATGATCCTGGATATTAGGACATAATATAAAATACATATTTGGGCTCTATCCCTGGCTCATGGCACGAGCTTCAAAAACCTTCTGGATGATTCGAGTGATGGGAACTTTATGTTGTTCTCAATAAGCCCATTTTAACCATACTTGAGTTTATGCCAGTGAAGAGCTCATTTGAGGATGGGGGCTATTTGCTAGCCAACTGTGGGGATGAGAGTATTTTCCTAGATGCTGCAGAAGAGGGAGGAACTATAGGTTGAGGTCAGTACCAATTGCCAGGATGGTAGTGGATGTTGGGAGAACCTTTCAAGAACAAATAGAATGCATTTCAGCTCTTCTGATCTTACAGCTGTTCTCTGGAGTAAGCACACTAGATGCACTTCAAAGGGACTTAATTACTCATACCTACACAAAGGGACTGCTATAGAAACCCACATAAGGAGTGCAAGAGATGCTCACCAGCTACAAGCACTTGTTGCTCTTGCAGAGGTATGGAGTTTGGTTCCTAGCACCTACATCAGACAGCCCATACCTTATGTAATTCCAGCCCCAAAGGATCTGATCTTTTCTAATAAACCAGGGATGTAAATCAATATTTCTCTAAGAGCTGTGATCCATTACAACGAAGAATCAGACTTGAAGAAGGGATTTAGGGAGCCTTATGTTATAGCCATGGTCAGAAATGCAGGTAGTCATATCTTGTGACTGTGACTGGCATCCTAAGTGGGGGTGAGCTTGTAGAACTGAGCCCTTTAACTTGTGGAATCTGACACTAGCTCCAGGTAGACAGCGTAAGAATTGAAGCAAATTGTAGGCTTCCTAGCTGGTGTCTGGAGAAGATTAGAGAATAGCTTAGTAAGGAAGAGTGACACGTATGTGGTCACATATGAATGTGACATATAAAGAATGGCTTGTTTCCCTTCTGTCCATAGATGATCTGCAATTCATCAATAGAATCATTTTAAAACTCAATTTCTCTATCTCTACAATAGGAATAATAATATCTCCTAAAAAACAAAGAATAATTACACACACGCACTACACATACACATAGAGAGAGACACATGGAAACGGCATGATAAAACGTATTTCTTTACATGCTAACTTAAAAAAAATTAAAACAAGACAAATAGGTATCTGCTCAGTTAGTTCAAAATGTGGTATTTAAAATGCTAA